CTCGGGAGAGAGAAGCGGCGTGCGGGGGGGACCTGGGGTGCTGGGACCGGCTGCATGGGCTCAACCTGCTCTGGGAAAACCAAATTCTGCTACCAGCCCTGAAACACTTCGCCACATTTCTTTACAGCTCTCCAGTGTGTGGGTACATTGTTTCTTTTAAGAAGTCTTTTCCTTCAGTAATATTTGCCCAAGTGTTTCCTCTGTACACACTGTTTCTGAGAAGTTAGAGTGAAGGCGGAGAAGAGGTCAGCAAAATGCAACCAGACACTTAAATCCAGAGCTCAGAATAGCCCCAGCCCCAGGTCGGCCCCTCCCTTCGCATGTGGTAGGTTTTCATTAGCTCCTTCTCAGCAATTACATTTTTTACCATTGTAATTATTAACAAATGTCTACCAGGCCCAACTTTTTCTTTAGAATACCACCTCCTCCAATATGCATAAATACATCATCAGAATATCCTCTGGTGAAAAATAGGTTTAAGTCATTATGATTTCATGTCTGTAAAATGTGGAGATCCTAACTTCCAAAAAGACAAAATATCATTTCATCATTTTTATCTCTTTCCTCAAAAGACAGAGGAGTAGAAGGAAAAAAAATAAGGCAGAGGTGCTTTAGAGGCTTCTTTTCCTTATCAATATAAATATATAAACGATGTAAATGCTAATGCTCTTTGCTAAATCAAACAGGAGTAGCAGCAAGGATAGGATCACTAAAAACTATGCCATCTCATTTGACTTACGAGTACTGAGAAGCAAACTTCCAACTAAAAAGTTAAAGATTTTAGAGTTTTATATAAAGTAATTCTGCATATGCTTTATTTAGTTTATATTATATATTCAGTTATTCACTCTTTCTTTTAACAAATATTTGGTAAATATTTATTCTGCTCCAGACAGTGTCCTAGTTTTTTACCTTTATTTCCCTAAATATAATCCTCCAGTAAAATTCCATGCATTTGCAACAACATTCTCTTAGTGTCCATCAGTGGGCATAGGAACCTGCATAATTATTCTTCCATTTGGACAGATGAGAGCTCACTTCCTTTTGGCCGTAGTTTTGAATGGAAGGGGAAAGCCACCACAATATGTCAGAATAGCTTTGAGAGCACCGATCAGACTTCAGAGGTAGACACACATTTCGGCCAATATTGTCTTGCTGTACTTTATGCTTCCTGAGTTGCTGGTTAGACTTGATGTTAAGAAAAGGCCCCTCCTCATAACATCAGGGTTGCCAAGGCTTGCTGGGGAGTTACCTAGCCCTGCAGAGCCAAGGCCTTATCTCAAAGGATAAGGTGGAGTTTGCTCTCTTCCCCTATTGCGAAATATGAGATTATTAAGTAATCTGTTTACATCATACGGACCCAAAATCCTGGCTGACTTTTTTAAGGATAAAATATGTATAAGACATCCTTCTGTTTAGAAAAAGCTACCTGGGGATCTTTTTTTCTATCTCAACTTTGGTTCACCCCACAAAATTTGGCAATTTCCCCTGTCAATGTGGATTTAAAAAGAAAATCAAGTGTTATTCTCACAGTCGACATTTCTGGGTCATTCTTGTAACATCAATTTGTCATCTACAGACTCATTCTGTGAAAGTGCCTGAGCTGGAGATGGAGCCTTTTGGTATAGAAACAAATGCGGTATCTTAAATGTTAAAATGTTTCAATGACTTTATCCACAGTAACCACTCTGTGCCAAAAATGTTAAGTTTACAAAACCATACACCAGTGAAAGAACAGACATTAAAGTTACTCTTTTTTATGTATTTTTTTTTCTTTTTATTAAATTTATGGGGGTGACATTGGTCACTAAGGCTATATAGGTTTCAAGTATACACATCTATCACACATGATGTTCATATTGCATGTGTGCCCACCACCCAAAGGCAGAGCTCCTTCCATCACCACATAGTTGACCTACTTTTCCCTTTACTACCCTCTACCCACCTTCCCTCTGGTAACCACCATACATCAGTCTATGAGTGTCTGCGTCTATGAGTTTTTTTCTTGTTTGTTCGTTTGTGGTTTTCAGTTTTATATCCCACATGAATGAAATTATATGGTTCTTAATTTTTCCTGTCTGAATTATTTCTCTTGGCAAATTTGTAAATTAAACCGAAGAGGACTCTTCTCACTCACTCTGTTCTTCATGAGTTTTGCAGTTGACGGTATTCTACTGAGTTTTCAGAACATAGATTGAGTGCCATGCCACCCACTGAGAGTAAAGTGAGCTGAGGCGTGGCTGAAGGCCCAGCCTCTCTCCCCTGCTCAGAACTGCAGCATTAGATGGAACTATGAGAGGGCATCTGGCCCTTCTTGCCTTCAGGCTAAGCTGACTCCAATCCCCCCAAATTGGAGGGCCTAAGAATTTTTAAAGCATGAATATTTCAAACTAACTAGAGCTACTGGACATTTGTCACTCTAATAATCACTTAATGGGACATCTTATTTGTGCAAATTAAAAGACAAAGTTTTTTGTTTTCTTCTGCTAAGTGTGCTGCAATATGCTTCAAATTTGTTTGATAAAAGAAATGTAAGGTGTTCCATCATCCTTGACCTTTGAATTTCTCATCCTTAATACTGGAGCACTTACTTCTGCCATAAACATCCCAGATCTCAGCTACTTCAGAACAGAGATAACAGTTTGCTTTCCTTCAATTTCACCCTTCTCCGTGCAATTAAAAATATGAGATAGACTTACATCCTTACGTAATACATTCTGCCTCAAAATGCAAATGAATCCATGTTAGAGGTCTTTACAATCGAGGCATCTGTTCTCCATTTTTGTGGATAAGTCCTCAAACCCATGCCCATTGCACCTTCTTTACACTTTCACCTAGAGTTACTATGAAATTTAAGTGCTCCCTACCCCCACCAGATGAAGCCTGGTGAGAAAATGGGAGGGTCCATTGAGTAGGCACTGAATTAGAAACTACTAGTCCCTGCTGTGGTTTCAAGACATACTGCAGTGGAGCCTACATTGTGCGTTCTCCGCCAAATGATAGAAACAACCATCCCGTAGGGCCTCAGGATTCAACAAAGGGCAACTAGCTAAACGTGCCTTGAAAGAAATGTAATCAACTCCAACTCCAACCACCATGAAAGACAATCATTGAATAGAAGTCTTAGAACAGGAATATGCAAAAAACATCCATGTGGCAAAGCCAAACATGGGTGTCACAAAGCCAAAGAATTTTACAGCTGTTTCTACCACCTTTTGTGGTCTTCTTTGTTTCTTCTTAAGAAATCTGGCTACAGATTTGTGTACTAGTCATTACACTGTTGTCTTAATTTTATGCCTGAAAATCAAGGGAAATACTTCAAGAAATGAATTTCTTGATCTAGGCCGTAAGAAACCCATGCACAATGTCCAATTGCAGCAGGGTGCTGTCAATCCTACAGACCTTATAAACTCAAGAAAGTGATTTACATCTCCGGTGAACTTAGCTTGAACATTATTCTCAAGAAAAACACGCATACACACACACTCACATTCACACATCTCACTCTCAAGCTTCCTCACTGATTTTTCTACTTTAATTGTCCCAAAACTATAGAATACTCACTCAATCCTACAATATTTCCATCCATATTCGACAACTTCAAGATTCTTATTTCCTTTTTGACCCTGGGACACTGACATAGTCACTGCAATGGAGACTTAACATTATGGGTTATAAGAATCTTAAGACAAAAGTTTTACTATTTTACTTGCATTCACTTGACATTTTCCCACAGTCATGTTGTAAAAGTACAAGGAACCCATAAAACAATATGAAAAAAAATACTGTAGTTTCCTTTTTCCTAAGAAACTTAGGTACCAAAATTCTTATTAGTCTCAAGAGCATAAATGCAGGAAGTAGCAAGGTGGGGGGAGGGGGGGCAAGCAACCCTCCAACACTCCACGGCCAGAAGGAACTCACTAAGGAAGCATGCGAAAAAACACAATGGTCACACTATTCAAACTAGTCCGGGTGGCACGGGAGCATCACTTGCCGGGGACCAATCTGGTTGAAGAATCGCTGCAGAACACACAATACCACCCCCTCTTCCCTAACTCCACCACCCCCTGACCCAAGTTTCTGGTATGTGTTAAGTGTTTATCAAATGGCACCGATCAGACTAGAGTTTACCAAACACATACAAATTGTCTCTCAGATGATTTTAATGGACACATTTTATGACATGGGTCGCCTGCAAGTTTCATTTAATTTTATGAGTACCAATTATTTTTTGAATCTCATTATAAATATTAATAACACTTTAGGTATTTGTGATGCCATCACATAATTATTTTAATAAATATTAAGTCCTGCTTTCTCACTATCAAATAAACAGTATTATTGCACATTGTTGATAAGTCAAGAGATAAGAGAAGGGTAGACATACTAAAAGTATCATAACAAGAGCTAAAATTTAACTCTTATTTGGTTTTTAACAGGCACTGGGGGACATCAGCAAAAGAGGTCCTGAAGGTTTTTAAGTAGAAAATGCTTGTCCATCTTTTCTTAACTGAGTCTCATCCACGACTACCATCCTTTACATCCTCAACTTAGACCCATTTTTCTGGTGACAATGGTAACATGATGACCATTCTCTGCCTGTAACTTCTGTTTCTTTATCCTGCACGCTGTAAGAAAGAAGCTTCAATCAAATACATATACATAAATCTAGCAGCTTCCTTGAATTAGTCACTGGAAGATGGTTCATATTATCTGGCAAAATATTTACTTTTCATGAAGAGGCACCTGCTTCAAAATAAGACACCCCCTCCTTTTTTTTTTTAAACTATGCAGGGCTGCACTGACTCAGATTCCTATGGTCCAGTGAAGCTCTAAAAATTACTTTCCGTGTGGAAGCAAAATAGGGAGATTAATGAAACGCCATAGAAAAGCTTTGGTTTGTAACTTCAAGGATACGAGATATATGGAATGGATGAATGCTATAACCTACACAGACACACATACATGAATCTATCCTTCCCCAGACCCATAAAGCTCACCTTCTACTTCTTCTTCATCACACACGTGCTTGAGGAAGGAAGCCCCTCTGTCCAGGACAGCTTCATCCTCCATCCTATAGTAATAAAAAAGAAAGAAAGAGTGCTCAGACTTCTCCTGGAGCGAGCCACTTGAAGCAGCCCAGCTTCTGGGCAGGTTAACCTGCGAGCTGTTGTTCATGTTAACAGGGCAGAGTCGCTCTTCCTCTGGTCACTGCCACTTCTTCACGCAGCTCCTCTCCTCCGGCGGTAGACACTGTGCCGGCCCCGCATAGCTTCGGTTCTAACCTTGAGAGGGCACCCACATGGACAGGTAAGAGAAAATCATCTCGGTCCTGCGGGCTGTGTGTGTTGGGGGTTCTCTCCTTTGAGATTTGCAAAAAAAAAAAAAAAAAGAAAAAAAAGAAAAGAAAAAAATACCAAGAGAGGAAGTTTGGTGTGTCTGGAGTGCTCGTGATGATCGTTTGTGGAAATCCAGCTTCAGGGCTTAGCTCTTTAAACACCCACTGCATAAAAATGTATACCCTCACACACGCATGCACACCCACCCACACACAGAAAGTGACAGGGAGTTAGGCTACTGCACAGCGGGAGCCTAGCTTCCAGCCAGCCTCTTAATACGAGCACAGCCCCGTGTGCTCTGTTGAGTGGCAAGCTTTAAGTCACATGTTGGCCTCACGGAAATCTGACATCTGAGGATTATCCAGCAACTTGGCTTCGGCAACAGTCACATATATATGCCACCCATTCATTCGTTTTCCACATTCTTATCACACTTCTTGCTCTATGTTTTTCTGTCCTGTTAACTCTTCTCTGAAGGGCACAAAGTTCTTTATTTCGTAGCCACATTATGTTGTCCTCCTGTCTCCTTACATAATAGGATCTACTCTGCAATTTCATATGCTAAATAAGACCTCAGGATCCATCCAAGTAATGACAGTGTTTTCACGGCCTCTCCCCATGCCGAACATGTTTCTAGTTTATAGAATGTGTTAACGTTTATTTCCTTACTCTGTGACTCGTTTTCACTGCATTAGCTCTGACATACAGAATTCCATGAACTCTATTTATAGTGAAAGCAGAAAGTCCCGAATTGCTCAAATGCTGCTTGTGTCGTACCAGTCTAGAAACAAAGAGCTTGCTCTGGGGACAGCTGCTCTATGTCATACCGTACATGAGCTCTGCCAGAGAACCAAATGTTCACTCTGTATCCTATCCATCCAATTATACGCTCAGGCATTGACTACTGTAGGTCTGTTTTCCATACTGTCCATTGAACTTACTCTTGTGCTTCGGATATTTGCTGTAATATGTGTGGATAGGTACCAAACTCACATTTTCCTCCTTTCTATTTTGGGAGCACATCTATCTCACAAAGCAACCATCTTAGCTCAAAATGTCAGAAGTTTGGTGTCAGGTAGACCTGGGTTTCAAAAATCTACTTCTACCACTTAACATCTGTATCACCTGGAGCAAAGTATTAACTTACTGAGCCTCAGTGCTTTCATCTATAAAATTGGGGGTAATAATATCGACCTTGCAGAACTTCTTTGAGATTCAAATTAGGCAACATATGTGAAAGCACTCAGGTTTGTGCCTAGCACCTAGTACATGTTTTAAAAAGGTAAGTTTCCTTCCTTTCTTCTTACCTTTTATTCCTTTTTTACCCTGAGCTTTATTGGGGGACAATGTCATTAAGAAACTCATTACCTTTGGATAATTGCAGAATGTTTTCCCTCAGGGATATGGCACATGCTTGCAACAGTTCATCTTAATATATATACCTATTTCCTTCTCTGTGTTAAAAATAAAAATATAAAACTATTTCAAATATGGTGTGGGTCAGTCATCAGGATTGCAGTAGGAAAGAAAATGCCTTGAAGACTTGGGAAGTCAAGTCTTTCACCATCCCTGTCTGAGCCTTTCCCATGAAGAGTAAATGATGCACTGATTTACCTATTCAGCAATTGCTACATTCCAACGGTCTTCAGAGGGAGAGGAATACATCTGTGAATAAGACACACAAATCCTAAGAAACTAATAATAAACAGGTAAGCAAGGTAACCTTAAGACAGCACTAAGTGCTTTGCACAAAATGAAATGAGGCAGAAAGCTACTTGGCATACGGTGGTTCAGATACGGCTTCCAAGGAAGAGACATCTGAGCAGGAAAGAAAAAAAAAATGATATGAAGGAACCAGTCATTTGAGGCTCTGGGGGCAAAGTGTTCCAAACAAAGGGAATAGCAAGTGCAAAGGCCTTCAGGTGGGAACAGGTTAAGCATGTTCCTGGAACAGAAATGAGGCCCGTGAGGCTGGACAGAGTCAGAAGGTCAACAATAGCACCATCATTAGGAATCAGGGCCCCGTAGGCCAGGTGGGCAGTTAGAATTGTAGGTGTCCAGGGAGCCACTGAAAAGTTTTGTCTTTATTCTGGTCTATGGAGGTATAGTTGACACATAACACTATATTAGTTTCAGATGTACAGCACGATGATTTGTAGTCCCTCCTTATCAGAGAGGGACGTGTTCTGAGACCCCCAGTGGATGCCTGAAACTGCAGATAGTACTAAACCCTACATGCACACAGTGTTTTTTCCTGGACACACTGTGATAAAGTTTGATTTATAAATTAGGCCATGCCACAGATAAAAGATTCATTCTTATCGTAGAGCGTAGCCACCTCAGCATACTATATTTTTTTCTTTATTAAGCCAAGAACTTTTATTTTTTTCCATTAAAGGAGGCACTTGATGCCTCCCTTTGGCATATCTGCATTGCCAGCATCACTAATCTAGCATTTTGGGGTCATTATTAAGTAAAATAAGGGTTACGTGAAGGTCAGCGCTGTGATACCAGGACAGCCTGCCTGATAGCTGAGATGGCTACTAAGTGACCCCTAGGTGGGGAGCCCATACGGGGCGGGCAGGCCGGGTCAGGGGGAGCTTCGTGTCCGCGGTGGGGCACAGCAGGGCCGCGTGCGATTTGATCAGGCTACTCAGAACAGCGCACCATTTAAAACATATCAATGGCTTATTTCTGGAATTTTTCATTTAATATGTTTGAACCACAGTTGACTGAGGGTGACTGAAAGCAAGGCCCTGGATAAGGGGGGACCACAGTATTGTGAAATGACCACCACATTAAGTCTAGTTACCACATATAGTTTCAAAATTTATTTCTCTTGTGATGAGAATCTTTACGACCTCCTCTTTTTGGCAACTTTCAAATATGCACTACAGCATTATAACTGCAGTGAAGAGTTTTAGCAGTCCATCGCCTTAACCACTCGGCCACCTCGTCCCCTGCAGGTAAGAGTTTTAAGATGGAGCTGTTTTACCTTTTCTAAAGGGTCACTCTGCCTGCTCTGAGAAATACAGATAAACAGGAAACCAAAGAAACTAGGAAACTATCTCAGGAGTCCAGGGCAGGTTGTCAGAGAAACATAGAATCAAGAGTTCTTTCCTGGCCACTCTATGATTGAGGTGCTTATTATATGTGGAAAAAGGAACTATCCCATACACAATCAGATGTCTAAATCTGGAGCTTGGGAGCCTGGGGCTGGAGCTAAAAATTGGAAAAATCAATGAATAAAGCTTGTCTCTGAAGAAGCTATTCCTAGATGAGATCATCTAGGAATAGAGGCGTAGACCTAAGACCAAGTGCCGGGCATGCCAGCATTTACAAGCAGCGCAGAGGAACAAAAGCAGTCAGTGAGGTAAGAGGGAAACCAGGAAAGAGTGATGTCAAGGAAGTGAGAGAAGAGGAGGGTGCTGCTACGGGCACTGCGACTGAGAGGCCGAGGCGGATGGAGGCAGAGAAGAAAAGCAGGAGCTGGCAGTACGGAGGAGGCCGGGGACAATGACCGAAGCACTTGCAACATACTGTACCCAGTGCTAGACACAGAGACAGCATGCGGCCATGCCCATTTCTCTCTCCTGCCCGCCTCCATTCATTTATTCAGCAAATATTTACGGAGCACGTACCAGGTGCCAGGCACACTTCTCGACACTAGAAATACACTGATGAGCAACACAGATGAGGGCTCTAGTGTGGTCCCATCTATCTTCTCAAAGCCTCCCCGGGCAACCTAGGAGAGTCCGTCCAAAGGGCAAGAACCTACCAGGAATACAGTGCTTGAAGACTTGGATAAGGATGGCAGCTAAATGGGGAATATTTTTCTTACAAGGCCTCGGAAATACAATAAAATTCTGGAGCCCTGTGCTGTTTACTGTTTTCCGGTTGGAAAACAAAGAGTTTAGCCCATATTTCTTCCCAGAACTAACCCTTTCCAGGCCTATCAACCTACAGACTCCAACCCAGTTTCCTAGAGAACATCATTTCTGTACCCCACCACTAATCAAGCTGGTCCTGTTTATTTTTCACGTGTTCCCTAAATACATTTAAAGGCATTTAGCCTTTGCACCGCAGCCCTTCCCCAGACTGCACGCAACCAACAAAGCCAAAATAAAGGAAGGAAATCACTAAGAGCTGAAGGAGACATTGTAACAACTGTAAAAACTGCAGTAACGATCCTGCCCAGAGCCTGCTTCCCAGGCCGAGCCAGCCGCCCGGCCTTACTGAAGCACTGTCCCCGAGCTCCAAGTTACAGTGAGAATAATGACCGGTGCATTCCTTGGCTCCCCGATACATATTTCACATTCCCTCCAAGACTATACATAGCAAGTAATTAGAAACCTAGTGCTTTCTGACAGACAATGCAGAGCGTGTGCACGCAGCGAAAAAGAATGAGTGCTGCAGACTGAAAATACAAAACCTGCATGCCCACAGCAGCCCTTCCCAGCGCAGCCCTCTCCTCCTCGAGAGCAAGTCCAGCCTGGAACTTCTGGGCTTCTGCACAAAGCATGGGAATTTACGGCTTTTTTCCATCTTTACCGCACTAATGTCAATTATTTGGGTTGGTGTCACCCCCCTAAAACCCTCTCAGCAGTTGCTTGCTATTATTAGCAAGACAGAGATAGCTTTTAAAATGACTGTCTGACCCAACCAGTTTTCCCCCCTCTATCAGAGGGAAGAAATGAACTCATCTAGTCCCTAATCAGGCCCTCAAATCCATTCTTAAAATGTCCTTTTACACAAACTGCAATTGCTGGAAACAAAGAAAGGAAAGAGCATGCTTCTAAACAGCTCCCCGGTGCTCACGCCGCCAGCATGAGGCAAAGTTCAGAATAGATTTGGAAGCTTCTCACCAGTATCACGGGGATAAGGGTCAGACCAGTCGGTACAAAATCCATGCGGGGCCAATACTGCCTTCCTTCCACGGGGCCTTTGAGAGGAGAAGGGAGACCCTTCCTCAGAAGTCCACGCCCAACGTGGGGTTTCTTACTCCCCGCTATT